CGTGCGGGCGGGGGGTGTGTGGTGGGGGGGGGGGCTATTTAAGGACTTGGTGCTAGCCTACTTTAGGAAGAACAAGTATAGTCGTCCCTTCCAAAATGGAGGGACAGACATTTGCATAGTGGAGCTCTATAACTTGTAGCTCCATTCTCCTTCCCTTGTGTAGTGTTTGATGGGTAGATTGTGGTACCACTCAGTTGTCTGACAAGTGCTCACTATAGCAATGGGAGGCCTCTTGACTTTGTAGTAGTAGCAAGAGACTTGGGGAGAGGGGGGCCATGAAAGCTGACTTACCCCTTGGATTCTTATTATTGGTGTATGTTTTTCCTTCTTCAGACTTAGTGGCCCAAAGGGGAGAGAAGCTGGAGCTGCTGATAGACAAAACAGAGAATCTTGTTGACTCAGTAAGTTTGAAGATATGTCTAAGGGGTGCTGGGGAAGCTTTTGGTAACTGGTCTTATGGTAAGATACTAGGGTGTCAATACATGTGCTCCCAGATGGCAGGGAGGGGGGTGCTTTAGTTAAAGCAACTCTTGAGAGCTGCTCCAATTAAAGCCCCCTCAGCACTGTGTATTGAGTGTCTCTGTGCATAAGAATGGCAGCACAGGTGCTTTAACTAAAGCTTATTTGACAAGTTTTAGTTAAAGCGCCCCACTACCATTTTGAAGCACAGAGATGCTGAATAAATGTGACGGGCTGCTGGAGAACACTAGTTAGCATGGTCCAGCAGACTTGATTTGAATCTGCTCTGCATGCTAATGAGCAGAGGTCCATCATGTATATAGGTGGCCCTAGTGATTAGGAGAATCTGGGTTTTTACATCATGCAGGGAATGTGTGGCCACAAAACCCAGGTGCTGGAGCTGTATATAAGCAGTGCAAAAGGGGTTTATGGGATCTAAGTTCTAGTCTTCAATGCATGATGAGCTGGTACAAGCCACGTGGCTGCCTTCTAGCACAACCTGATCTGATGGGCCTGATCTGTCCATTGTAGTTCAAGGTACCTTTGTACTCTACCCTTCACTGGGCATTGGTCTACATGTAGACTTGTATGCCCTGTCATTAAGCCCTTAGCACCTGTTCATTTGGGTTGTGACAGCTCAAAGGATCTTCCTCTTAAACTGCCTATGTGTCACAATTGTCCATGTAGGCCTTGGTGTTTCTTACCTTCCATTTCTTCCTAGTAGGCAAGGGTTGGGTCTGGTCTGTTTTTCCTTTCATGCTGTAGTTCCCAGTCGTCATAATCTATGCCCTTCATTATAGGGGCATAGTTCTGGGCCCTGACTGGCCTCAGATGTGAACTAAATGCCCAACTGTTCAGACTGTGGTAGCTGCACATCTTCACAGAAGCAGAACTTCACATTGTTAGGGGAAAGTACAGTAAGGTGATGGTGCCATATGTGAATGGCTCTTGATAGTGGGATTCTGTGAACTGTGGTGCTGGACATGTGTCTCAGTTCCTGTGAACTGAAATTGGATCAGATCTAGCCCTTTAAAAGTAAGGGAAATAAATGGCAGTATAGAAAATTCAAATACAGCCAGTAGAGGGTGCTGCTAAAGTTCTTTCTCTTCAGCTGATTTTTTTTCCTTCTCTCCAATTGGAAGATCTTGTATAAGGAACATGCAACAATTTTCTCTCTACAGAGATTCTCGGTTTAACCTGTTCCAAATACTTTATGCCTGTAAAACATCTAAGAATACCGTAAACTGAAGTTGATTTGGTATTTCAGTCTCTTGAGTCTGAGAGACCAGTTTGGGATGAGGTCCTTCTATCTCCATCTCTCTCTGAGAAATGAATGTGGGGGGGGGGGTGTTTCTCTATATTAAAAAAACAAACAAAAAACTTAGTGAGAATTGAGTAAGTGGACACCTTGGTGAAAGATAAGTATTGAAGAAGACTTTCAAATGCCAAATTCCCTTCCCTAGTCTGTTACACTCATGATGAAGCTGCTATGCAGTGGTGGGGCTATATGCACTGCCTCCTTTATACTAAGATATCAAGTCTGCAAACAGAACCAGGTAAATGTTGCACATAAGCTTGATGTGGCTTACCCCACTGCTTGCTTGTAGAGCAGGAGTATGGAAATACTAGCTAGCTGTGCAGAGGATGGTATAGACTACAAGCAAGGCTCACAGCCAAGCTGACAAACGTTGCTTTCAGAGATGCAAGCTCTGCCTTCCCTCTACATTTTTTTTTTTTCTGCACTAGTCTGCAAAAGTGGTCTGTACAAAGGTAAGACTTAAGACTGGACCCCTCTTCTCAGACAGTGTCTAGCTGCTACTAGACAAGAAGTTTGGAGGTCAGTCCTGAGCCTGGGTGGCCTGTTAGTCATGGTTAATTGCTGTAGCAAACAGTACACGAGGGTGGTGCAGCTAGACAAGATAGCAGTGCTTGACTGCTAGTCCAGTGACCAGAAACCCACTTATAGCTGATCTAGTGTGGGTGGACTTTGAGCCTTACTCTAGACTTCCTGACACGTTCTGATTTGGGGTTTCATAGCATGATGCCTCAACTGCTCTAGGACCATGTTCTTGTTAAAGACTGGTGGCAAAATCTTACTTCCATTGGATGAAATAATCCCCTGATCAAAAGTGAGGTAGGTACACAGCATGGCTTGCTGGCTGATGGGGGATTTTGGGGTGGGAATGAGTACTTCCAAATACCCTAGGACATTTATTAATCTATTAAATCTTAAGGGACTAGGCCTGATCAGTGAGGCTTAGGGACTGAGTAGTGTTGTCTTGCTCTCTTCTAGTCTGTCACATTCAAAACTACAAGCAGGAACCTTGCCAGAGCCATGTGTATGAAGAACCTCAAGCTCACCATCATCATCATAATAGTATCCATTGTAAGTGCAAAACATTGTAATGCCACCTCCTTTAAGGGAAGGTTTGGGTGTTAACACTTTCCCTTTGTGTTACTTCCTTCCTCCACCCTGCCTGTGCTTCCATCCTCCCCAAAGCAACAGTCTGCAGGGGGGAATCGCCTAGCCCCTATAGCTAGTAGACTCCTCTGGAGTCATCTGAGGCTGGGAACCTGCACTTTGCCGGTGTCCTCGTGTTGGGTGAGCACTAGAGGGATGGCAAAATCCTGCCCATAGAAATTTCCATCTGAGTCTTATATGAAGTTTAGGACCCACCACTAGGTGTGAGAGTATCTGAGGGCAGGCATAAACCATCTCCAGACAAGCCTATGCTCCTGTTAATGACTACTCCAAACAGGCTTCTGTCTTGTGTTTATCTACAAATTGTCCTGACTTGCCCACCTGTAATAATAAGCCTGGGTACTCAAACACCCTTCATCTGAGAGTATGAAGGCATAATTAAAGGTGCTGTATGTGTGAAGTACTTTGTTGATAGAGCCTCCAGTCACCTGGTGCCATAGGGATGTCACTTATCTCTGTGCTGCAGTTAAGTGGAGCAGAATTTAAATGACTCATTAAATGGAGTTGCTGGCAGAGAGAGTTTCAGTTTCTAAACTCTGGGTTTGACAGCTACTGTCCTTGTGCTATACCCTATGGGGTAGGATCCTCCTTCCACATGACCAGCGCTTTCTTTCCCCAGGTCATCATCTACATCATTGTGTCAGCTGCCTGCGGTGGGCTCACTTGGCCAAGCTGTGTGCAAAAGTAAATGGAAGCAGTTTGTGCTGATCAACCAAGGATGAGATCGCCAGGGTATATGAAGGAGCAACCCACAGAATAACTCTTAATCTTTCACTACTGACACCTCATTCTTTCATCCTTCCAGGACTTCAGACTTATTTTTTGCCTTATCACCCCAAGCAGCCCCCTTGGGTCACCTGGCCCTGAACAGCTTGAGCCTTGAGGGGGGTGGGGCATGTTTTAAAACTACTTGAAGGGATTTTTTTGGGATGGGTTCTGTTTTGTTTGTGTTCTTATGTCTTCTACAGAGCATCTTGGCAGGGTGGGCAGTGCTGCTGGCTCAGGAGGATACATGCATGCTCATCCATGTATACATGCAGCTTTGCACTTTAATGTGAGTGTCCTAAATGGAGAGTGGTAGTATTAGTGGCCTGCCTTCCCTCTCTGTGAGGAGGGCTGGAGAGAACCCAGTGCAAGTGGGTGAATGTTGGATGGGGGAGAGAGGGGTGAAAGGCTATTCTTTTGCTAATATGTGGGGACCCAGTTCTCCCTGCATACTTAATCCTTTGCAGTACTTCACTGAGAGCCTGCTCTCCTCCCCCCTGCCCCCTCCAGAGCCTGGTTGTTGGGGCTTTATCTAAGAGCCATGGATGCAAATCCTGGTTGACATCACAAATAGATTAGTGCAGGCTAGACCAAAATGAGGTTCTTTGGAAAAAGTCCCCCTTCCATACTGGAACTCCCCTTCCTTGAAGTCTCCTTGGAGATCTGTACAGTAGGCTGGGGAAGGGGATTAGGGATAAACTGGGCACATTTGAAATGGTTTTCCACCTGTTGTCTTGGCTCTTACTTCATGGTTAAGTTGATAAAGGAAATGGTTGTGGCTGGGTAAGGTTACAGTAATTTAACTGCTTTGTCATTTTGTGGGGTGTCTTTTTTTTTTTTTTAAGGTCTCTCTCCTATCCTGTTTTACTTTGATTATGGAGGAGGCTAAAACTTAGTGCAAATGTCTGTCACTTGATATGAAGTGGAATTGGGGCCAAACTGCTGCTCTGGATTCCAGGGAGGATGCATGTTGGTGGGGAAGTGCCCTGTGTTTGCACTTCCATCCCAATAGACTGCCAAATGTTTTGAAAACACTGAATACAGAAAAGGGACAGAATCATCAGTTTGCCTAAATCTCACTGCTTGAATCCCTCCTGTTAAGGGGGTTCTTGTCTTGTCTACACATGTATCCTAGATTCTAATGAATAGTGTGAAACAGCACCAAAGTTAACCAAAGGCCAGGGGTCCCTGACTAATGCTGCTGTAGGAAGCTCAGAGGGCCAAAAATAATCCCAGACTGGCTCTATCTAGCACCTAATTAAAGGTTTTTATAATCAATTATAAGTCCATTGTCTTGGACATCCTGATCATCATAGGACTGCCCTCTGCACAGTCCAGTTATGAAAAGTGAAGTGGTAGCTCATGTCCATGCTTGGTGGGGTGTGTCAGAGAAACATGTTCCATTTGCACTGTGAATGACTTGCCAATTTCTTTCAAGTGGCTCAAGATTTCTTTCTGAGAGTTTTTATGGTAGTTTATTTTTTTCTGTGGAGGAAGAAATAGAGCCAAAAGCAAATTTGCAAAAAAACAGGGTGGCTTAACACACATTGAACTCCATTGGCACCAGACTGTCCTGTTGTGCTAGCTTGCTTTTCCACTATAGAAATTCTGGTTCTTAAGAGTGAAGTTGCAGGGGTGGTGGGGAAGACTTTGCATCACAGAAGCACATATACTGAGGCTTGCACTCTCTCTGGCCTTGGGAAATATATGAGAGCCACATTGTATTAGGTCCCCATGGAAGCATGCACTAAAACCAAACTGCTGCTCCAGCATAAACTTGCTTTGCTGCCTACTGTACAGTGTGACTTGAAGGTTTCAAACTGGTACCCAACCCAGCCTGGATTAGACTTATGCCAGCTGAGATCTTTCAATTGCAATAAGAGATGGCATCTGACATGTTGGTGACCCCCTGTTCTTGTTCACTTCTGTCACTAGTTGGGCTAAGCAAGTTGGCCAATGCAGAACTAACTGGAAATCTGTGTCTGCAGTCCTAGTGACTTACCTGGGAAGACCTATGGTGAAGTATCCTTCTTCTCTTTAGCGCACCATGACCACCCACAAGTCTATGTGCAATTGTGCATGTTTTAGGGATAGTTTAGAACATTACTATATTGATTTCCTAGGAGTTGTTGTCTTTATGTACAAATACTTTTTAAAGAGATTAATTTCCTCTTGTTTTAAAGAATGCACTGAAGCATTATGTAAAACAAAATTAACCAGTTTAAATAAATTTTCCTGTAAAGAGAAGTTATTTCCTTGGCTCTTCTGCAGGGTGGCTTGGTATAAGCTTCCAGTGTTGTTTAATAAACAGGCTCCAGCTACATGGGTATGGGTACTAGACCTGGCTGGAGAGCCATTTTTTCTCTCATGAGTGTCTTTGTGCATCTTCTGGCTTCAGAAGACTATTAATGCTGCTTCAGACTTGCAGTCAGAAAATACTAATAAGCCCCCACAACAGAAGCCATGTTCTCAAGTCATTTTGGGGTATCTGGCTCTAACCAAAATAAAGGCTAAAGACTAACATCTAATAAAGAACATGTTTTGGATTCTCATCCTTATCTTAACTTTTTCCTACATGACCACTAAAGTGTTTTGTCATCACTTGGAGATCTTGGTAACTTGGACAGCGCTTTCTAAAAGCAACAATAGGCAAGGTTCTATATGCATTGACCCTCCAGGAAAACATAGCATCTCTTCTTCCTCCCAAGGGGAAGAGAAAACTAGTGCCAAGTCAAATGTTGCATTATTGCATCTTCATCTCTCTCTCTCTTAATGTGGATCACTGTCTTTGTACAGCACTGTACTGCAGTGGAGACCCAGCTAGATCTTCCTAGTTGTTACTATTAAATCAGGCCATTACTGTCTAATACAATTTGTTGCTTCTCAACCCAAAATGAGGATTTGCATGAAGTGTCACCATGTCATTCAATTTTAATTGTCTATAGCAGAGGGAGATTCTTCAGTCTTTCAAAACTGCGTTGAGAGTCTCAAATGTCCTTCCAAGTAGGACTCCTTTCCCTCTTGGAAGTGAGAATATTACTTCCATTTGAAGGTTTAAAATTACTAGAGCAAAACAAGTTATCAGACTGGTATACAGTAAGTTAGCATAACTCTCCTGTTTAGCATCTTTTTTAATTAAGTCCTTTGAAAACATAACCTAAAAAATAGATGCAAATGAAGCTACAGGATGTATAAGATGCTCAGGCCTAGTGCATGAGCCAGAAAAGTCAGCTTGTAAATGAAGTAAAGTTTTTGACTATTAGATACTAATGCTAACTCTGGCCTAAGTTCACTTATTTATTTGTTTATCATCTAGTGATTTAGGGCTTTGACTTGCTATGAAGTACACGAATGCCAGAGTTGGTAGTTTATTGTAATAAATTGATAATCTTGAAAACAGGAATCAGAAACCACTAAGAATAGTTTTAACTACTTAACATCAACTACACTACTTATGTTTTTAACTCTAATGATGTGCATTTAGAATAGAAGTAGATCATATTAAACTTATCTGTCACTCTCCTCATCTAAGTGGAATGTTCCTCTTTGAATAGAGAACTGAAACAATTGAAACTTGATCTCAGGCCCTATTAGAAATAACTATACTACACTGTACACATTTTAGTGCAACTTAACTTTACCCAAGAAAGCCCTGAAGACTCAATCTGTTGAAGGAAAAGTACTTTTACAGATACTAAACTTCCTTTAGGACAGACTAAAATTTCAAGATACTTCCTCTTCTATACCTTCACCTAACTCTTCAGGGTACTTTTCTGCATGGCAGAACATTATGGGGATGTCCTTTCTCCCCCTAACACATCACTTCTCCATGAGAAAATCAATGGAGCAGGTCCTCAAGTAGCTCAGTGAAGCATCTAGAAGAGAGCAAGGCTACTAGGAACAAGCAGCATGGATTTACCAAGAGCAAACTATGCCTTGCAAACCTGATTTTCTTCTAAAGAGACCACCTTTTGTGAACTGGGGAAAAACAGTGAATGTAATACACTTTCTGCTCTTTTCAGCACCGGTGAGGCCTTACCTGGAATACCATGTCCAGTTTTGGGTTCTACACATCAAGAAGGCTGTGGACAGTTTCTAAGGAGTCCCATGCAAAACAACAAAAATGAGGGACCTGCAAAATGAGACTTATGCAGAAAGGCTGAAAGAACCAGGGTTACTTCCTCTGGAAAAAAGAGGATTTGGTGGGGAGGGTGTTTAATAAGTCTTCAAATACCAAATGGCTGTAGGGGATAGTATTAAGAGCAATGGTCTCAAGCTACAGCAGAAGAAACTGAGGTTGGAGATTAGGAAGAATATTCTATGCGGGTGGCCAGCTTGGAACAAGCTACTCAGAGAATTGGACTTTCCATCCTTGGAAGTTTAAGAGAAAGGTTAGACAGTTGGCAGGGATAGGCTAGTCAAGGACAAGCCTGCCTGGAGCCAGGGGGCTGGACTAAATGACTTCATGTGGTCCCTTCCAGCCCTACCTTCCTATGATCCTAAAGATGTTCCAAAGGAGAAGTGGGTTTAACAAGAAGATAACAGCTATTGGAGGAAGATTTCAGAAAAAAATATAACTAGGGGGGCAGGAAGAAATCAGACCAAAAAAGTGGTCTCCTGCAGAAGAAAGTTACATTTTCCAGAACAGAAGCTGCTCTGGGAGCCTGCTGGCCCAGGTCCCTAGCAATTAATGCTGCCTATCACTCAAAACTAAGCAAGGACAAAACTAGCTTTAAAATCTAGTTACTAGATACAAATTAGCTAAAATAGTGCAACTCTTCCAGCTTCACTCTTACTGAAACAAGACAAACCTGCAACAGATAAAGTAAGGGTCACATAGGGAGCAAACATACAAAGTTGATGAGCAAGGCCTTGTATTCTCCCTCAGTATGGACAACTGGACCCTAAAACAGGGATGTGTGTAATTCCTGCCTCTTTTCAGTGGCTGCAAATGAGTCTGAAGGAAAGAAGGTTATTAAGTTAAACAGCTAAACAATGTAGTACAAGCTGACCCCATCAGCAGTAGTCTTTAGACTCTAACTTTTCAGAAAACTTTTTTGTGTCTCAGTTAACATTTGGTAAACAGACAAGTGGAGAGTTTAATGCATATTACTGGGGCAGAGGGGAGATACAGATCACACTTCTAGCTTCTAGAGATGTTACCGTAAACAAAAAAACAAGACTTCTTGTTTGCTATTAAGGCAGATCTACTTTTCAGCACCTTAACATTTTATTAAGCTACACTATCAAATCACATTAATGGCAGGGAAAACATTGCTGAGCTCAAATCAGTGCATATTTTATGGACTCCATTTGAATCAACAGCCTCTTGCTGAAGATGGGGGACGATTTTACCAATTCCTTCATATGAAAAAGGCAATTAGAAAAAGTTTCATACAAAACCCAATGAAGGGTAATTGTTACCAACAGGAAATGGGGCAAAGTGTATATTATGAAGAGAAACACTTAAAGTAAAATTAGTCTCTCTAACATACAGTGGGTGCCAAAGACAGGACATTACCATCTGCAAGAAGTTAAGCTTGCTGGTATTTTCTCAACTTAGATAACTTAGCAATGTGATAACTATCAGTTTAAGTAGCACCCACTGTATTATGATGGCCTGTTCAGAAACCCACACAAATATTGTGTATTACTCCTTCATTTGTGAACTGATACTACTGTGATGCACACACTTTGATACAAACATGTCTGAAGTGTACTACTGATAGTTATAAAAGCTGCCTTTGACTTCTAGAGAAACATTAATAAAAAGTAGCAGAAGAAATACATTTTATACAGGAATAAGTATAAAAAAAATTCTGAGCTTCAGATCAACTAGATTAGATGACACCAGGTGCATTAAAAAAACCCCAAAACCTTCTAACACCTATACAGCTATTTCTATACTCTCCACCCCCTGCTAAGAGCAACAAACAATAGGTTGAAGCTTCTTGCTGGCACAAACACAACAACTTGTGGCCTTTTAAGCAAGTTTCCATGTGAACATGTCATAGTGGATCGCAGTCAATGTCACTTCCAACAATAGGCTGTAGGTAGAAATCTATATTAAAGATGCAAAGGCTACTCAAGCTTCTGCAGTTTTTCAGAGTTCAGGGATACAGTACACAAAAATTGTCCATTTCTATCATTAAGAGGCCAAGCTCTTGACAAATTAAATGAAGTCAAGAACAAAGTCTGCATTCTAGAGATGAAGGGAGGGGGCTGGGGAATGTATAAGTCAGTCCCATGCAATGGATCTGGAAAGAAGCATATTTTAGAGTATTCTTATGCCCAGCCAGCTGGGGTTCTTCAACACAGATGTTTGGCAGTGCATCAGCATCTTTGGGTTGCTTCAGTAACATCCATCCTTCCAAGAATCATCAGCAGTTGTCTGACTGGTTTTTGCCGACTGAGGAACTCTGTTTAAAACAAAAAACAAAAGCCATCTAGTCACATGTAGTGACGCACTGAGCTCCAACTTAAGTGTTCATTACACCATTAGCAGAGGAACATATTAGTGATCAAAGCCTTAACTCAGATGCCATACTTTTGTACTTTCTGGCTTGCCACACAGGCATGCCTCATTCAGTGTCCTAGTTGCATGTGGCACACACCCATGCATACTATTAAAGCTAGTCCTGCATTTTACGGCAGGCTGAATAAAAACCCTACACACGGTATCTCATTTCTGTGGCAAGCTGGCACAAGAAACTGGAAAATGCAGCAGTCCTGGGTAATGTGTTGAAAAAAAAAGCAAATTTAAGCAAACCCTTTAAAAAATAAGCACCTAATATCACTAAATGTGAGAGAAATGATTGGTAAAATATATTTGCAGCATTTTCTGCACAAGTAACTTCACTATAACAGTGAAGTCCACTGAAGATGTGCTGTGTTTTTTATTTTAAACAATGACAAAAAGAAATCTAGAGGGCCCAGAGGATCTTGGGGAATTTCAGAATAGGTGAAAACTTAAAAAAACCCTCATTCTTAAGGCCTGGGGCTTTTACAAAGAAACACTCAGCACTTGCTTTAATGGAAGCCAGATGTAGGTCAAACACAAATGAAATTTAAAGATAATCATGCTTCTTTCTGTGTTGTCTGTGTTTAAGAATTTTTTTTAATAAACTCTCTCATTGGACAAACAGTATAACTGGAAGAGATGTTGACAACTTATTCAAAAACAATCCAACCTAGTTCTGGGACATAAGATACAGACTTTAGATAGTTCTGAGACCAGTAAAAATCAGAGCATATATATAAGCCCTGACTGAAGCACAAATTTTTAAAGATATATAATATTCCAGGTGCAATTTGTGTGCCATTCATCTTCTTTATTCTGCTTCAGTTCCATTAGACATGGGGTTGTCAACCAGGGGCACACATACACCTGGGAGTACTTGGACTGGTCCTAGGCAGTATGTGAGGACGGAGCACCGCCACCTCCCAGGAGCAGGGCAGGGAAGCTTGCGCATCAGCCGGGTGAGCTACCCCACCCTGCAGAGGGGCACCGCTGCCTTCACCTCAGCCAAGTGAGTGTCCCTGCCCACTAGCACACTGTCCCTGCCTCCCTGTTCCATGTCTGTTCGCATGCTACTCTCCCCCCACCCCGTGACTGGCCGCTGGGGGTACTTAAATTCAAAAAGGTTGAAAACCCCTGCATTAGACAAAAGAGCAAATGCTTGAGAAAGCCTACCAAATGAGTTGTTCAGAGCTTAGGGCCAAGATTTCTCAATTCCTTAACTTTATGTAGTCACTTAAAATAGCCTAGAGAGGGAATATTACCCTCTCTGGGTAATATTACCAAATATTATCAAATCAAAATGGTAATATTTTATCTGCCATGCGCCTCTGGAAACTGCTACAACAGACACAGGACAATGAAAAACAAGCCATGGAAAGCCTGTTGAAGATTATCTCAAGTAGTTGATGGAACAGGAAACGTTACAAGATTTCCAGTACTTGTTTTGAGAGGCAATTCAGGCAGAGGCAAGCACTTAAAAAAGTATCATATATTTATAAATCAGGCCCAAAATGTAACCTGAATGTTTCATTAAGCCAGCCAAAATGTCTACAGAAAGCAATTTTAAAGCTAAGGATTACTTTATAGCTTACTGCTGGGGCAAAAACATGCTAGAAAGTCCCCATCTGCAAACTATTTGATTTGGAAGTCACATCCCAGTAGATGGAACATACTACAAATAAGAGATCCCTTTTACTTTATAATTTGAAATGTACTTTATAAGCCAAATTTTGAGACATAGTTAAGGTGCACTTCATTTTCTTAAGTTTGTTTCAGTCATGAAGACCTTACCTCTTGGATGGGGGTGTCAGCTTGCTCTTAGGAGCAGAAGTTCCTCCTACAGATGTCCGTACTTTGATGGGCGAGTTTTTGGCTATCGTGACCATATTACTTCTGGTAGCAGAAGAACTGCTATTGGAAGACCCTGGACTATAAGTAGAAGACTGTGGCTTTCGAACTCCAACAGGATTTGTGTAGCTGGAGGCTTTCACTGGCTGTCTTGGTGTTAACAGAGAATTTGTGCATGACCCTCCTTTCACTGGTTGTCGTACCGTTAAGGAAGACTGACCAGCACTAGAGGAATACCTGAGCTTACTGGGATTCAAACCTAAAAGTGGAATGAAAGGAAACAAGTTGGTAATGCTTTCTCTCCCACATCCTCATAGGCCCCTCTCCCTTACACGCACGCACACTACAAAGTGGTAAAAACTAAAGTGAACTGACTTGTTGATGGTTGCTGCATTCTGGAAAGTCGGCTGCTGGGTACCTGTAGATCTGATTCCAAACTCCGGCTACTCCTTACAGACTCTAGAGTGCGAAGGCTTGTCCTAGCCAAGTTAGGCATACTGTGACGCATCTCCTCTGGAGTTTGAACAAACCATAAATAAAGCATAATAATATTAGCAGACCAAATTACTTCTATGGTATAATCTATTCCATGGTATAATCCATGGAAAATGCATATTGTTAGTTTTAATTCAAATTGATAAGAAAATACAAAGTAACCATGAAAGTGATTGCTATTTAATAACAGTCATTTTTTGACCAATCCACATGTCCATATTTTTTAATATGCAATACTGTACAGTTCATAGCTAGCCTACCTTCATTATTTGTGTACTTCAGTCGATCTTGCATGGTGCTTTGCACAGATCTCCTTGGGGGTCGAATACGAGAGGTAGTTGCCCTGTTGTAATCTGCTCCTGAAGAAGGGGACTGACATCGGGGGGAGCTGAGAGGAGAAGGTGAGTACCTGTGAGCACTACGATAGGACAGGGAACAATCATAATCATCCTCATCCTCCAGACTGTATGCGTCAAACTCCTGGTCGCTGTAGGTACCTCTCCTGAGAGAGTGAAGGGAGGCACTGGAACTACGACGAGACACTGAAGCAGAGCTAGAAGCACAATCCTGGCGGAGACCTGGGAATATGAAATGCCACGGACCAAATTACTTTTAACTTCATACAGACTACTTCCCCTGACATGGCACAGCAGAAGTTAACTATTACCTCTCTGATCATTTTGTAAATTGGCTTTGGGACTGGATTCAAGAAAACAGAACAATCTTCATGATAACATCACGTGGTATATTACTTTAAGGGAAAATTTACACAGATACACGTGGTATGCGGGGAATATTCATGATTATTGTTCCAAAAACTTCAGGAGCCATCTACAAGATTAGCGGTACACAATTACAGATTATGAAGGTTTAAGCAGTTCATTTAAAATGTCCCAGAATGCATTACATATATGTGTATCCCTGGGGGTACTTCAAAAGTTCCCAAGGGCTATGCGGGGGTAGGAGGGACCAGAGTGCCACCACCCCATGCTGCTGCCTCACAGGAGCAGGGCCGGGGTGGGGTAGGGTGAAAGCAGCGTTGCATGGATGCTGCACTGCCACCACTCGCCACACCCCCGCTCTGCATCCAGCCGCTTACAAACCCCCCCTGCCACCATGCTCTGCATCTGGCTGCTCACAACCCCCATCCCACCCCCTCCTGCCTGCACTCAGCCGGCATCAGTCTATTGCCAGGTTTAGATGGAAATCTTAGAGCCATAGACTTTACCCCTCTATGAGCGCAGTTGCAAACCATCTATATTTCCTCAAAATTCCAAAACTGTAAGATGAAAAGGAAATTGCTGTCACATACTTTCTTCCTGTAGGCGTGCCATAACCTGGACATCAGTCAAGTCCTGCAGTTTGTAGCCCATAGAGATAGAGTCATCAGATGTACTAAGCTCACTGTCCACAGAGGACTGAGAACTCAGTGCAGAATGCATGCTCAAGTAACCTGTGGGGAAGAGGGGTGGAGAGGGAGGAAAAAGAAAAAATAGTGAGCAGCAAAAAGTGATTTAGAAACATGCAGAAACTCATTTTTATTTGAGGGCAAAGCAATTAAGGTCATTGTTGGAGGTAGCTCAGTTTATTTGCTAAGGAAAAGACCAAAAAATCCAAAAGTTAGTTACACCTACAAAGGATTGTTCTTCACATCTTGACTACTAAATAGACTGACTGATATGTTGGAGCATGGATTCCTGTCCAGAGGAAAGCAACTGAGGCTACCAGAACCTCAGTCTGATTTCAGTGCTTAATATTTCCACACTTTGAGAAAGATATGTCTGCTAATCCAGAAGCTGATTTTGAAGTCACAGGAGATGTTTGCTGTGGTGTTTACACAGGTCATATGCTAATGCCTCACACCCTCTTGAACCCATAAAATTACTATCTAGATTAAGACTTTACTATTATGAGTAGAGTTCTACTGAGATACATCAGTCACATAGTAACACTCTTATGCAACAGAAGGTTTTATAATAGTTACTTGTTACCTCATGATCCTTCTCCCTCACACCACCTGTTGTTTCATCTACTTGCTGCATCTTGTAATAAACCAAGACTACATTTCTCAGGGAATAGAATGGCCTTGGATTTAAACAGACATAACTGTACTGATATCAAAGAATACTGATACAAGCTGTTATGATGCAACTGGTAATCATGATTATGTGACACCACAAATGTAGCAAAAACACTTCACTTTTAATCCTGCTTCATATAGGATTAAGGCTAGGGTGATTTAAAATCAATTGTATTGCTACAAGATCACGCAAACTTAACAGATCAGTGGAGGCCATTATTTTTGGCAGGTGTACCACAAATTAGCCTACACCAATGCTCAACCTCCTGCCTGCAGGCCAAATCTGGCCTGCAGAGCCATCACATCCAGCCCAAGGGAATCCCCACAAGTTGGAAAAATTGGCAGCTGGCAAGCAGCAGAAGTTCCATGCAGCGGAGTCCAGCCCTGCCCAGGCCATGGCTATGCAGAGGGATCCGGATGGTCCCACCCCTGCTACACCTGGATCAGGCCAGGCTGCTCCTCACCCCCTCGGGTGTCCAGATAGGAGCCGTTCCACTCCAACCCCCACTCCCATGCACCCAGATCAGGACCACTTTGTTCATCTTCCTCTTCCTGCTTTCCCACACACATCCAACCCATTTGTCCGGATCGTGGCTGCTCCACCCTTTCCTATCCTGCCCCCTGCATGCCAGATCAGGGCTGCTCCATCCCCCCCTGCCCAAGTCCCTAACCCCCTCACATCCAGATCAGGGACCAAGTCGCTCCCTGCCTGTCCAGCACATGGACTAGGGTCAGCCAGTGCACCTGCCTGCGGCCAGATAGAGCCCAGCCAGGATGGATACAGCCCACAGCCAAGACTTGGCATTGCCCATCTGGCCCACAGGGCAAAAAGGTTGGACACCATTGACCTATACCTTTCCTGAATGCTACTCCAATGCCCTTCCCCTACTCAACCTGCTGCTCTTTCTGCTCCCTGCCCAATCTGCTGCTCTGCTGTCTGTCACACTTGTGGCACACATGCAATAGCTGCTGCATGCTCCCAACCAGCTGCTCCCTCTCCCCTTTTAAAGCAACTAAAACACACATTTGTCCACACCCTAAGGTACTGGTTTGTATAACAGTGTTCCTCAACCCGTGGGTCACAATCCAAAAGTGGGTTGCAAAAATATATGAAAGGGTTGCAAACAAACTTTAAGAACTGGATCAACAAACTTTAAAAATGGATTCTCCTTTAAAGGAGAAAAACACTTTGCAGGCTGGCAGAGTTCTGGGCTGCAAGGACCAGGAAAGCAGCCAGGCAGCATGGACAGCTGCTACGGGGGTGGGGGCATAGACGATATGTCAGGGGGTGCAGAGGCACAGGCAACACTGCCTGCCACCCCACCTCCTCTCCAGAGTACAGCCGTGGCCTCAGCCAAGCGACAGCAGCTGTGCCACAGAGGCAGGGGTATTGCTCTGCCCAGTGCACCACCAGCTGGCAGGAGGAGAAGGTGAAGGTAGCATAGCCCCCACTCTTCCCCCTATCCATTATTCCTTGTGCTGCTGGAGGCATGGCTGGTGTAGGGTTTCTGGCGGCAGTGGCAGAAATGAGTCTTGCCACCCTACTGGAGTCTCGGGGCAGTGGGTTGGGAGTGAGGGGCACCAGCAGGGCCAGAGGACTGTTTTCTACTTAAACTATTCACTGGTTCAGGACTGGCCATTGATGTTTATAAATAGGTCCTGGTACAAAAAAGGTTGAGAACCACTGGTATAACATGTTGGGATAATACAATGAGATCCTTACTGGGACCACTGGACCCTACTCTAATACAAATAATAACATTCAAAGAGGGTACACCTCCTATTAAGATGTTAAATTTCTATTACATGCACAGGCATAAGTAAAAGGGAAATAACGTATCATTTTCTTTTAGTATAAGTTCCTAGTAACTGACACGTAATATTAGTTAACATTGTTTGACGACTGAAGTCAGTCTCTCAGGATTTTCCACAGTAAATGAGATACACCACGTTAGACTAGTGGAATATGAAAACTGGGCAAGTCCAGTAGCAAATGCTTGCTACTGGAAGGTTTTTTTTGATAAACTGATTATACCAATGATAAACTGATTATACCAATTATACCAATAAACTGATTATACTTGTCCTTGCATCTCAGATGGGTGGCAGTCAACCCAACACACAAATGTTCATACCTCAGCCCACTCTTCTCTGCATTTTCTCCTCTTGGTTGGCAAATGAGTTATAACACTAATAGGGACCTGAGCAGATCAAAGAATCATAGCAGTAGGATCAGAAGGGACCTTGTAGATCTTCAAGTCCGACCCCCAGCCTGGGCAGGAGAAAAACTGGACTCAAATGAGTCCAGCCAGGTAGGCATCAAGCCTCTTCTTAAAGACCCCCCAGGGTAGGAGCCAGCACCACTTCCCTTGGAAGTTGGTTCCAGACCCTAGCCGCCCTGACTGTGAAGTAGTTCTTGCGGATGTCTAATCTAAACCTACTCTGCAATAACTTGTGTCTATTATTCCTTGTTATGCCAGGGGGCGCTAGGGGAAACAGTGTCTCTCCCAAACCCTTCTGGTCCCCCCTAGTGAGTTTATAGACGGTCACCAGGTCCCCCCTCAGCCTTCTCTTGTGAAGGCTGAACAGGTTCAGGTCCCGCAGTCTTTCATTGTAGGGTCTGCCCTGTTGTCCCTGGATCACGTGGGTGGCCCTCCTCTGGACCCTCTCCATGTTGTCCACATCCCTCCTGAAATGGGGCGCACAG